AAAGTGATTCGACTCCATGGATGTGTTATGACGTGCCCTGATTGTAATAGTCTGAACTGTCTACATTAAAAATATTTCCACGTCGACCTGAACAAAATTCATCACTTTCCTTAATAATAGAGTTTTACAATGTCGAGAAATAGCGATTTGATATATTAATAAATATATAATATTGAAAGAAATTAGGAAAATTAATGACAAAGTAGGAAAAACCTTTCATGTGAGGCGTTTCATCCTTTAGGACTTCATCTAACTAAAGTGTATGGAAAGTATATAGAAAGTGCTTTAATCTGTAAATCCGGATTATCCCAATGTGGTATACTTAATAACAAAAGGGATAAAGATATAAATAAAAAGAAAAAGAAAATAAATAAGATTAGATAGATTATATACTCAAGCACATATTATTAAAAGAAAAACAAAATTTAATTTAAAAGATTATAATTTCTCTCCTTCATGCGCATGTGTAATCATATATACTTAAACATCACTTTAGTCCGATAAAGTCCGAATGGAGGAAAAGTTTCGCACGGAAAACATTTTCCACATTGTTAATAATTTCCTAACATTATTCTAGTATTTAAATATGTATATGTCATTTTCTCCCATTGAAAAAAGTAAATAACTTTAAACCCTGAAAAAAAAAAAACAGAGACAACCTCGCAACATTCCATTTCTTGAGTTATTTTTTTTCTGAATAGATCAAAATATATAAGGAAAGTAGACTCCTCACTTAACGAACGAGTTCTGTTCTAACGACGTGGTCGCTAGACGAACTGTACGCGAACTAAGAATTTATACCTGACCGCTATTTCAGTCATGCTAAGCGTGTAATGTGATTGTGTCAACCAGTTTCTCAAAGCGTCAATGTCAGTTTGGAAACATTTATAACATTTCAGAGGGTTTTCTTATTAAAATTGAATTCAACCCAAGATAATTCTTCTCGCCAGAATCTCTCTTACATATTTATAAATTTACTATTGATCCGTGCATTGAATACTGCTGCCATATCTGGTCTGGCTACTTACCTCGAGGTTCTTGAAAAAATTCAAAGAAGGGTCTATAATGAAATCAATCCTGACATCACACCTGGACTTCACTCACTTTATCTTCGACCTGACTTAGCTTTCCCCTGTCTTTTCTACAAATATTTTCACCTTACTGCCTCAACTGCATGAATTCAAGCGTTCTACTTTATTAAATACTAGGTCTCAACGTTTTAATGCAACCCTTTGTTCTATTCTAATAGTTTCTTTTCTCGCACTTCTCGTCAGTATATATATATATATATATATATATATATATATATATATAAAAAAAGGCTTAAACACTAATATTCCATGGTCATAATTTATTCCATTGGAATCATAAATACGATCCAATTCATCAGACCCACAAATTCAAAAAGAAAACAGAAAAAACAACTCCGGGAATAAAAAATACAATTTACTGAGAGTGTATGTATGAGAGTGTGGGACGAATGTTAGAGTAAAAAGAAAGCTATAGAGATGGGTAACAGATGAGAGAAGAACAGGAGAAGAATAGGAAGGTCTAAAGATGAAGTGGGGGGATTAAAATTTAACAGAGAGAAGTTTTAAAGAGGGGAGTCAAAGACGGTTTAAGTGAGAGAAATATGAATGTTCTCGGATGTCTAATACGTTAAAGATGTAACCGGAAAGGATACATTTTGTGGTGACATACACGCACAATAGACGATATGTTCTTAAAGATCAGAAGAAGAGGGAGGGAGAGGAAAAAAAGAAAAAGGGGGGGGGGATGGGACGAGGGGAACTAAAACCGAAAGGCATTTATAAAAGGGCCGCTGTGTAATTAAGAAAATTTGACAAAATTAATATTGACTACAGGTTACAAATCAAATAAACATATTAAAAAAAAAACAAATATAACGATTATATAATCTAGCAAGGACCTAATATATATATATATATATATATATCAAGGATTTTTTAATCAAGAAAGTCTAAGACACAAGGGGTTGCTGGTCATGGAAGAATTTGAAAACACAAACATTACTAAGGAGCGAGAACAATAGGAGAGTGATCAGGAAAACTGCAGTTAGCGATTGCCGTTGCATTTAAAATTTTGAAGATTAAAGTTGACTAGAAATCAAGGAGCCGGGAGAGAAATCCACAAGGGGGAAGTGCGAGAGAAGAAACTCTTAGCATAGAACTTACGGTTACATCTAGCCAACTTGTAAATTGATGAAACCTTTTCGCCAGTCTAGTACTGCGCTTAAATTCATAACATCTAGGTAACATAGCGAAGAACTTATCCGAACAGTTACTATGGAAGTATTTACAGAAATGTTTCTTTATAAATGTTTCTGGAGGATATTTCATTAACACGGATTATATATAAGGGTGTTTCATTAAGACAGATCAAAGTTAGTAGTAAATAAATCTGTGTTATTGGTGAAATTTTATTTATTTCTCTATTGGATCATGTTATTTATGTCATGGCAATTATGTGTGAAAAATAACATCGCCCAAATGTCCGCCAAGACTTCGCCGGCACACCTCCACTCGATGGTAAAAATTTTTGACGACGTCTCTGCATAGTTGCTCCTCGATCTCACCAATATGCCTTATTATCTCATCCTTCAGCTGTTGAATTGTTGTTGGCTTGTTGGCATAGACCTTACTTTTGAGATGACTCCAATGGAAGAAATCTAAAGGCGTCAAGTCGCACGATCGTTGGTGGCCAATTGACTTCGAGAGATGATGTGACCTGGGAACTTCTCATTCAAATTATGTTTGAACGTCCATTTTTGTAATAGACTTCGATAACTTTAACACGTTATTTGATTGTTAATCTTTCAATGGTTGAAAATGTCAAAGACTTGAGTTGTTAAATCTGAAAGAAAAAGAAAAAAATCATTTGACGCTTAAACTTAATTTACATTTAAAATCGGTCCAGGTTACCCTTTACAAAACAGGAGTGTATTGAACTGTAAGCATAATGAATAGATTTGAAAATCAGTTCTATACTCTGTACATTACTTGGGTCTGAAGACTGGAAATACAATGGAATTATTTTTATTTATTTATTCATTTTATTTATTTTCATTCACATTTAAGAAAACAATCACAGTTAAAGTTTTCGTTCAACTTACAATACGAACAGTTTGGATTTATTATTTATATTTTATTTTATAAAAATTTATGACTGTTCCTAATTCCGGTGCTTGTTAAACAATTAAGTTGTTAAGTATGTTGCAATTATGTGCATCCATACATTTCTAATAAATCTGTCAATTCATAGCCGAACTTTCTTTGAAGTTGAAAATGATTTTCAATGCAATAAATTTGGCATAAAGTATTGCACACGAGATACTTCCATCTTTGTTTCTTAAATTAAGAGAGAGATGGAGAAAAAAAGATTGAAAAAAAAAGAAAGAGAGCGTGAAAGAAAGAAAGAAAGAAAGAAAGAAAGAAAGAAAGAAAGAAATAAAGAAAGAAAGAAACCATGAAAGAAACAGAGCTTGAAAGAAAGAAAGAAAGAAAGAAAGAAAGAAAGAAAGAAAGAAAGAAAGAAGGAAAGAAAGGGATCATAAAACAGCAAAGAGATATAAAGAAAGAGAACGAGGTGAAGAAATAGAACGAAAAAGATTAAAAGATTGGTTAAAAAGTATAATTAGCTTTTGAATTATATAAACCAGGGTTCTTAACCGGGGGTGCATATGAACCATGCGGGTCCATGTATCATCACTGATGGTCCGCACAAAAAATAACAAATTGTGGGTCCATGGTAATATTTTATATTTGCCTATAGACTCAAGCATAAATAAGCAATTTCATTTCGGATCGGTTGTTACAACTGAGAATGGGAATTTCTACAGTAATCTATGCCATATTAAAACACTAAAAATAAAAAAGCAACTCTAAACCACGCAGAAAACGGAATCAAGCGATGTGAGTCAGCGTCCCTTTTATTCTACTGAATGTTTTGATTGTAAAAATTAAAAAACGGGAAGTATACATAAAGGAAGGCTTATATATGTAAAGGAAAATTATATAAAGATTCCTAAACTTATCTATTAGTAAAAAATAATATGAGCTTTTTTTTTCATCGAACAGTTATGGGAGGGGACCACCAAAAATTAAGAGTAAAAGTAAAAAAAAAAATTGAGAACTACTGATCTAATTAATAAGGACAAAAATGAACCCCCACAAAAAAAAAAAAACACACACACACAGGCCAAAACTGTAGTCCTGTTTACTTGTCTTTTCACTATCCAAGTGCTCTAAATAAGTACAGTGTAACCCGGATATAAGAGAGTTGTCGGGACTGGAGAAGAAGTCTCTTATATCCGGGTTTCTCCTATATCCAGGTTTGGTCTATTATATCTACATTAACACAGGCTCTAATTTGGGACCAGAAAAAATCTCTCTTATATCCGGGTCTCTTATATCCGGGTTACACTGTACATACATATATATATATATATATATATATATATATATATATACAGTGTAACCCGGATATAAGAGAGTTGTCGAGACCGGAGAAGAAGTCTCTTATATCCGGGTTTCTCTTATATCCGGGTTTGGTCTATTAACACAGGCTCTAATTTGGGACCAGATAAAATCTCTCTTATATCCGGGTTTCTCTTATATCCGGGTCTCTCTTATCCGGGTTACACTGTATCATGATACCAAGTGTATTTATTTTCTGTAACTTTTTCCTTAAAGGGAGATAATTATAAAATATTACCATCTTGAGAATAACACCCTGTCAAAACATGTTTACGAAAGCTGTAAAGACTCCCAATATTGGTAAACTATATTTAAAGTGAAAACATTCTCTTAGTGGAAAGGACTGACATCTTTTTTAACAGCATGAGTTAACTAGCAAACTATAAAATGGAAACTATATTTAATTATTTCATCTTCCCTACAAATCCTCATAAACCGTGGCCCTTACCCCTTACTATTTAACCATCTAACTTGGGCCTTACGGGCACATCCCATTGAAACAAACGTACGATCACCGAAGTTAAGCAACGTCGTGCCTGGTCAGTATATAGATGGGTGACCGCTTGGGAATACCAGTTGCTGTAAGCTTGGATGTGCGGGTGGTGTAATGGATAATGGCTCGGAATTGTTAATCGATGAGCCGAGTTCCAATTCTCGTTCTGTTCGTTATATTTCCACACTTGGGAAAAGTATGAATCCATCTCTTCTCTCCCTAGATATTGGTTAATTAGTAAGACTTGTATCATTAAACCATTACCATCCTCACAAAATATTCTTAAAATGTAACAAGATTTTCTGGCTTTAAATAACCTGCAAAGGGTTGATTAGCCGTAGAAAACGAATCAATCAATCTTGTCGAAAAAGCAGTTAATAAGTATTCGTAGGCTGATGTATAAATAATCGGCCAATATATAGCTATAGTCTCTAGTATAAATAAGCGGTAAACAGATATACATAGATTCATGTATAACGTGACTAATATTTAGCTATAAACTCTAGTATACATAAGCGATTAATATATGTTCATAGACTCGCGTATAAATAAACAGCATTTGTCTATAAATTCAAGTATATATAAAAGTCCAGTAGTTGCATATAGACTTGGGTATAAATTAATGACCAATATTTACCTATAGACTCAAGTATAAATAAACGACGAATATGTATCTATAGATTTAAATATAAATAATCGGCCAATATAGACTCAAATATAAATAAACGACTGATATTTATCTGTAGATTCAAGTATAAATAAATTACCAATATTTACCTATAGGCGCAAGTATGAATGAACAACCAATATTTAATTATGGATTCAAATATAAATTAACAATCAATATTTATCTATAGTTTCACGTATAAATAAACGTCAAATATCCTTCTATTATCTCAAGTATAAGTAAACGATCAATATTTGCATAGGAGCTAAAGTACAAATGCATTTTTAATATTTACCTATAAACTCAAGTATAAATAAGCAACTAATATTTATCTAAAACTCAAGATAAATAAATAATTGATATGTATCTATAGATTTAAGTATAAATAATCGACTAATATTTACCTAGAGACTCAAGTATGAATGAAAGACCAATATTTAATTATAGATTCAAATATAAATTAGCAATCAATATTTATCTATAGTCTCACGTATAAATAAACGTCAAATATCCTTCTATTGTCTGAAGTATAAGTAAACGACCAATATTTGCATAGGGGCTGAAGTACAAATAAATTACAAATATTTAACTATAGACTCAAGGATAAATAAGCAATTTATATTAATCTAAAACACAAGAAAAATAAACGACTGTTATGTATCTATAGATTTAAGTATAAATAATCGAGCAATATTTAACTATAAACTCAAGTATAAATAAACGACTAACATTTATTTATAGATTCAAGTATAAATTAATGAACAATATTTACCTATAGACTCTAGTATAAATAAGCAACTAATATTTATCTAAAACTCAAGATAAATAAACAACTATTATGTTTCTATAGATTTAAGTATAAATAAATGAATGATATTTACCTATAGATTCAAGTACAAATAAAAGACCAATATTTAGTTATAGATTCAAATATAAATATACAATCAATATTTATCTACAGCCTCACGTATAAATAAACGATAAACATCCTTCTATAATCTCAAGTATAAATAAACGACCAATATTTAAATAAGTTACAAATATTTACCTATAGACCGAAGTATAAATAAACGACTAGTATTTACATGTGGATTCACATATAGGTAAATGATAAACGTCTGCTTATAGATTAAAATTAAATAAACAGAAACTGATTTCAGTGTTTAAAACTCCATTTAAATAGATATGTCGTAAAATCCAAAAAAACCCAACAGATCTGGATTTACTGCAGCTCTTTTTCGGGTTGATGATTTGATCTCTGTCGCTGCATAATTTCAATTTACTACCGAATTCGATGGTAGTCTATATTTACATTTTATATTACAATATTATGGGCTTAGGAGAGGTTGAATTATAGGTAATCTACGGAGTCTTTGTAAATATTAATTTCCTAGATGCCTCGACTTCGCTTAGAAAATTCGAGTGATTTTATAACCTAATATGAATTTCAATTGATTAATTTTGCTCCTGCTATATATTTAGAGATTCTTGAATAAATCCAAAGAAGAATCTGCAATGTTAACGGTCATGAACAGGAAACTCGGCTTCAGTCACTTTCCTGTCGCTATAAATTAGCATCCCGTGTTTTTTGTATAACTGTTTGCCTCGGGGTTCTTGATAAGATCCAGAGGTGGATATGCAATATAATTGGCCCTGATCTGGCATCTCGTCTACAGTTGCTCTCTCACAGACGCGCCGTCGCCTCTCTCTCTCTCTCTCTCTCTCTCTCTCTCTCTCTCTCTCTCTCTGTCTTTTTAACAAATACTTTCATGGTAATTGCCCCGATGAGCTGCATTCGCTGGTTCCCAGACTTCATGAATTCAAGCGTCCTACGAGGCTGGCATCCCACTCTCACACTTTCACTGTTAAACTATTAAATTTAACCGTCTCTTTTACTACAATAGCTTCATATCTTGCGCCTGTGGAACTCCCTTCCCTATTCCTGTTTCCCTGAGAGCTATAATCTCCAACTATTCAAATGTAATGTCAATCGACATCTTCAGTTACCTTGATCTATCCACTATCCTTCTCCTCATCCTTTCTTCTATCACTCCTGCTCCAAATCTTCTGTAACCTCTTGCGTCCTAGTGGCTTCCAGCCTTGCTTGGTGTGAAACACTTAAATAAGATAAAAAAATACTTTCATGGTAGTTGTTCGGATGAACTTTGATCTATGGTACATAAACATTATGAATTTAAGTGCAGTACTCGATTGGCGGCAAGGTCTCATCATATAGTTGAAATGGTTAGATGTAACCGTAAGTTTTATGCTAACAATATCTTATATCGCACCCCTTGCTTGTGGAACTCTCTTCTGGGTTTTTACTTCCCAGTCAACACTGATCTTCAAAAATTTAAATACAGTGTCAATCATTATCTTCTGTCTTCTTAATTCCTGTTCTTTTATTGTTCTCTCTCCCTAATAGTGTCTTTTTTTTTTTCCATATTCTTTAACACTTGCGTCTTAGCGGTTTTGTTGCCTTGCTTGGTGTAAAAGGATTTTAAAAAGAAATAGATTATTTCAACCATTTCTGAGTTGGGGGAGAAAGTGGAAATACGCTATACTATCAAATGTGGTAATTCACTTTCGCAGTTCCCAGGCACTGACTGTTCTCAACCGACCACGCCTACTTGTTTATTTTGCCACCGTTTACTGAATTCACTCAATGCTCAGACTCCTTGGGCTTATTTTGGAATTTGACTGAACCATATCAATGGAAAGAGTGGAATTTGGAAGGTCTGGAACTGCGACACGCCATGAAGTTCGTTTTCCTGCAGACGAAGAACTCGAAAGGAAATCTATGGGTGCCTTTCATATGCAACAGCGGATAAGTCGTGTGCTAACTTCCAGCGTTGGGAATTAAGAGAAACAAGATTCAAACACAGCCTCAAAGTTCAATGACTTAATCGTGGCCGATCGACGAATCTTGGTCAAAAGAATTACTGAGACGCTATAGGTATCCAAGTAACGCGTCGCGTTTATAATTCGTATCTTTTTTACTAATTTTCTCTCTATACAAGGCCTAAGAGCCACTCAAAATAGAGGGTTACTGAAGGATATTGTTGTATTTTTTTTTTTAAGCATTACGCCCCGAGCAAGGCGTGAAGTCACTAGGATGCAGGGGGTTGCAGATTTAAAACGAGAGCAGATAGGAGTGATAGAAGAAAGCATGAGGAGAGGTATAGTGGATAGATCAAGGTAACTATGAAGGTATGAAAGGTAAGACTTAAGAGACGCAATATGAGTATATGTGGGAAAGATAATGGCTAACCCTGTTCTTGAAAAGGTTCAGATTGTACTAGTTTGGAAAGCATCTTCTTGTGAGTCTGTTCCATAAAATAGAGGTTCGTGGGAAGAAGCTATTCCAGTGGAACTTCCTAATAGGAGGCAAATGGGTAGGGATAGTTTACCTCGGTTTACGCGATATGGGGGGCTCTTAGCTGTGAGGGTTAGAGTTGATGGAAACAAGAAATATAGCGTGTCAGAACATTTTTCATGGTAATAGTGATGGAGTGGTGAGAAGCTTGCAATCTTTTGTCTGCGTGGAAACTGGTTGTAGGGTGGAAGATAATTAATCACCAACAAGCCATTTGAGGGCAGATATAATTTGTCTCCAGACCCACCAATGAAAATAATTTCATCTACAGTCAACATAAAAAAGTGAAAGTTACTTTTGGGATGAAGTATTTGTAGAGTCTGTATGTAAGTTACATTGCCTTGTGCCATCTTGTTGTTGTAGATGTTTAAATGTCTGTGTCATTTTTTTTAAAGTTTATTTTATTTTTGTATTTTTTCTCTCTGTTATCTGTTGGCTTAGACTGTGGTGTTTCCACCTCGCCTTTACTGTGACGTGCGTATTTTGTTCGCCCCGTTGATATTAATTATCAAAATTCTTACTTCAGCCTCTCCCCACAACTTCTTTAATTTAGAATGAATGTAAATTAGAATGTTGCTTATCAATGCTAAAAAAAATTCTACCATCCCATTTTTAGCTGCTGGTAAACATCAGAGCTTATAATAAGTCATAACTTATTTTGCAATTTTTTTTACACGTTAATAGGAGTAGATAAAACCACTTATCGTCCGGTCCGCACTCTTTCCATGACTATTGAACAAGAGTAGAGGTTCATCCCTTTTTTTCCTATCCATCGTATGGTTTACCTATTCTCTTTCTTTCACTTGCTAGGCCCAAATTGATTTAACTGTCTTAACTCTTTGCTGATGACACTAACCAATGTCTTTGACTTTCCATTATGAGGAAACCAGGTTGACAGTTTGCTGACTGCTGCTTCTTATTGGTCGTGAGGAGCCTGTGCTCTTTAGTAGCACTTAGAAAAACTGTTCTGATCAACAGCTGCATAATACCAGGGCATCTGTAGTGCTATGTTGCGCATGGTTAGGTCTCCCTGCATATATTTATGGTCAA